CCTGAACCCTAAAACCTGAACCCTAGGACATCTTTCGACCTGACCCACCATCTTCCCCGCTGCGGAAGGGGGTTGCGCGGTGCTTCCAATTGAATTGGCTTTAGGGTTTAGGGTTTAGGGTTTAGGGTTTAGGGTTTAGGGTTTAGGGTTTAGGGGTTTAGGGTTTAGGGGTTTAGGGTTTAGGGGTGTAGGGGTTTAGAGTGTAGGGTCTAAGCCCGAAGCCCTAAAGCCTTTAGGAAGTACCAGCTGGTCCATGGCACCACTGCTGTAGCAGTTTTGCTCAAAGTTTTTTTCGAAGCTGGGTCAATTGGACTAGGAGTCTGAACAGTTCGAAAAGGGTAATTCTACTCACCGAAGCAATCGTACCGACATGGTACTTACCATGCCGAGGTGTGCTTTTGTTCACCGCATGAGACTTTTAGGGGTTTAGGGTGTAGGGACTTGTATCTACTACGGGTCTTGACTGTGCAAGCCATCGATTGGTCGCGCTGCGCATCGTCACCATGGTGAAGGCTGCGGTCAAGCAAGCATGTGCCAAGTCAGTCAGGAAGCTTCACATCAAGACCAAGGCGACCAAGAAGACGGGAAACAACGACACCACGACGATTACCGATGAGGCGGAATGGTACAATGCTGAAAGCGACATCACTTCCCTTCGCCGCATGATGAAGAAGTTCAGAGGAGTGCGAGATTTGTCTTGCCTTGACCTTTTCGGCGCATCGGGGGCAATCAAAAAAGCCTGGAGTGGCCACCACAAAAAGGCCGAGCTGTCTCTTGACAAGGTGTTTAGTATGTTTTTTACAACTCCGTAACTTGTTTGTCCGCTTTGAGGTGTAGGGTGTACGGTCTTGCGGTTGTCTTCCGAGCGTGACGAGTTGGCTCTCAATGGCTGCAAAGAAAGAGTTTGTTTCATATTAGTAGTTCTCTACATTCGGCTCCAGTTTAAATCCTTTTTAGACAGGTGCAGAACCATTTTGGGGACCTAGAAAGGGACCCTAATTTCGACAACTACCCTCTTAAAGATCCCTACATTAGGTCCTATAGGGTCCAGGCAGAGCCTGAACAAACAATCGAACTCCTGCGCCGCAAACTGTGTGTCCCAAAGCCTGGGATAGGGGTTTAGGGTTTAGGGTTTAGGGTTTAGGGTTTAGGGTTTAGGGTTTAGGGTTTAGGGTTAGTCACTGTAGTCAGAATCAGAAACCATGATTTCTACACCCCACCGCTTCGACCAACAATTCAAGCCTCAGCTGGCCTCCCGACCTTAGCCTTAGTCTTTGAGTTCGTAGACTAAACCCTAAACCCTAAACCCTAAGCCCTGAACCCTAAACCCAAAACCCTTTGACCGTTTCTGGTTCCAAAAGCCCATCGCTGTACCGATCTGGCCCTTGAGCTGGACAAGAAAGGCATCCTAAGCCCTAACAGACTTCGGAGTTTAGGGTGTAGGGTTTGGGGTTTAGGGTTTAGGGTGTAGGGTTTAGGGTTTAGGGTTTAGGATTTAGGGTTTAGCGTTTAGGGTGACTCTTGAAACCGAAGCCCCGATCTTTCCATGTCCGAGATCGCATCCACCCTTCCGCGCACACACAATGACCGCAAGGTTCAGGGTTTCAGGCCGATGGGTAGGGTTTAGGGTTTAGGGTTTAGGGTTTAGGGTTTAGGGTTTAGGGTTTAGGGTTTAGGGTTTAGGGTTTAGGGTTTAGGTTGAGGCTCAGGCTTTTGGGTTCAAGGGTCGACTGCACCAAGCGCCAAATTCGTCGGGGCAGCAAGCGGCAGCCGAGGTATGACATCAAAACGAATGGGCCGCAGCACGACATCTGCAGCGAGGGCGGTTTCGAGAACCTCATGCGGTTGCTTGGTTCTGGTTAAGGGGTCTAATGTAAGTTACCATAGTAAAGAAACCATATGTTATTCGTATTTTCTATAGATCCCTATTATGAACTCAGGATGGGCTTGAGGATCAAGCCTGGTGGGGTGATTGTGGCAGGACCCCCATGCTCGCTGTTCATCTTCCTGTCGTCCTCGATCCACCGGAGGAGCCCACACAGGCCCTGGGGGAACCAGGAGTACCGATCCGTTCGGCTTTCGAACTGCATCGTCGCTTAGTAGCTGAAACGAGCGCGCTTTACCCGTTGTTGGGATACTTACGGTTGATGGACAAAATCCTGCATGACCTTACAAACCTAAACTATGGGATTTATGGTACTATACTGTATTTGGGTCATGCAGAATTTTGTCCATCAACAGTATGACTCCTTATGAAACAGAAAGTGAACACGGTTATTTGGCTTGTGAGCTCAGCAACGAGGTCAGGAACATGACCACCTTCCTGCAGCTCATGTCAGAGCGGCATGTCCGCTGGGTCATCGAGCAGCCCTCCGGCAGTCAGATGTTCAGGCTGCCACCGCTGCGGCGCCTCATGCGGGAAGTCGATGCCGTCCCTGTCACTTAGTTCCCCAATACCCAACCTTTTTAAACTTTTTGGGTTCCTATAATCTGAAAGTTTAACCTTTATTTCCCAGGCTTATTGGGGAAGTAAGGTCACAACCTACATGGGATGCTTCGCTCACAAGATGAAGAAGCGGACGATCCTCGTAGGTACCTTGCCTTCGTTGCCAAGGATGGAGCGATCTCTACGCCCTGAAGATCGCAAGCGCTTTGACAAGAACAGGAGGAAGTTCTACATCCGCTGCGATGGCAAAGTCCATGGAACCAAGGCGTTGCAGTCGAGCGCAGATTACACACCCCAGTTCTGTGAGGCCCTCTATACCTGCTGGAAGGAGAAGTGAGAGTGATGGAAGCTCCCGAAGTGTTTTTTTCTAATGTATGTGAACACGTGCGGGCAGCACGTGCAAAGAGCTGGCTGAAGCTAAGCTCGGGGTTGTAGTTTTGCAGTGGAGCGCGGGTCTCATGCCCAGCTATGGACTCAGCAGGGACACTGCCGTTGCTGTATCGTCAAGCCTGCCGCCAAAAATCGTTTGCATTGAGCATACCCTAAGCCCTAAACCCTAAACCCTAAGCACGATCACGTGAGGTTCTATAGCAGCCCTTGACACCTTTATTTTGTCATAGTTGGGTAGCGCTTTAAATGTTTATGGGTTCTGGAACTCAGCTCGGAATAGAAATTCAAGGCCTAGGGTTTAGGGCTTATGGTTTAGGGTTTAGGGTTTAGGGTTTAGCTTTTCATACTATCCCGACCATGAACTAGTTTACACCAGGTGGCGGAGGTCATCGCTGAGCAGCTCGGCGTGGACAAGGAGAAGGTCACCCGTGAGGCCCTTTTTTCAGGGTCCCGGGGCCCCGACAAGGTTTGGGGGTTCGTGTGTTTGGGGTTTAGGGGTTTCTTCGAGCTTAAGGGTTTAAGGGTTTAGGGGTTTTTGGTTTTAGGGGTTTAGGGGTTTGGGGGTTTAGGTTTGGGGTTTAGGTTTTAGGGTTTAGGGTTTTAGCACTTTTGCAAAAGCCGCGGTGTCGGAAATCGAGCTTTATAACATCGCCCTTGGAACACCATACAAAAGCCATCAAAAACCCTCAAAGCACCTTCATACCACCCCTACAGCACCCTTGAAACCCAAATGAACTCCCAAACGACTCCAACCCTCCACTGATTCAGGCGACGTTGTCTGAGCTTGGCGCCGACTCGCTGGACATCGTCGAGTCCGTGTGGCCAAGCTCAATTAGGTCCTTGGGGGGTGTAGGGATCGCGGGCTTAACGGCTCAGGGGGTAAGGCTTCTTGGGATCAGGGAGTTTTAATTTAGAGGTTTAGGGTTTAGGGTTTAAGTTTTAATGTAAGGGTTCACAGTTTAGTTGTTAACGATGCAACTGTCCTATAGGCTTCAGTCCTGCGTCTAGTGTAGAGGATAGTCTTCACGAGGCAGACGCTTCCCCCGTGATCCTTCTAGAACCCACATGAAAAATAGGACTAAACCCTAAGCCCAACCCTCCACCCTAAACTCTAGGTCCCACTACTCCTCCAATCCGGAATGTCTGTGCACACCGTCGCGGAAGTCTACGCCAACTGACAGAAACGGTTCGAAACCTCAACCCTAAAGCCTAAGCTCCTAAACCCCAAACCCTGAGCCGTAAACCCTAACCCTAAACCCTACAGTCCTTTAACAAGTACTCAAGGAAGATCTTTAGGGTTAAGGGCTTGGGGTTCAGGGTTTCGGGTTCAGGGTTTAAGGCTTAGGGCTTTGGGTTTAGGGTTGAGGGTTTAGGGTTGGGTTAAGGGTTGAGGGTTTAGGGTTGGGTTAAGGGTTGAGGGTTTAGGGTTGAGGGTTTAGCGTTCAGAGTTTAGGGTTGAGGGTTTAGGGTTGAGGGCTTAGGGCTTTGGGTTTAGGGTTGAGGGTTTAGGGTTGGGTTAAGGGTTGAGGGTTTAGGGTTGAGGGTTTAGCGTTCAGGGTTTAGGGTTGTGGGTTTAGGGTTGAGGGCTTTGGGCTTAGGGTTGCCTGAGGTTTTAGGGTTAAGGTTTTAGGGTTGAGGGTTTAGGGTTGAGGGTTTAGCGTTGAGGGTTTAGGGTTGAGGGTTTAGGGTTGAGGGTTTAGGGTTGGGTTCAGGGTTGAGGGATTAGGGTTTGAGAACGCCCATATGATTTTCAGT